CTGAATGTTTATAATATGAGTTTATTATTTTAATTGAGAGAAAGACAATGTGACCAAAATTAGTTAAGTGAAGTTCCTGTTCAATATATTTAGAAGTACCATAAATGTTTTCACAGATAATTGAACCAAATTGAGGACACTTTTATGTTACTTATACGCAGCGTAACACATTTGCTACAGTCCGTGCTTATATTATATATGGATACATCATGGGAGTATTACAATAAGTTCAAGCGGATTTAATAGTTCGAAAGTTGTGCAATTTAGGTGAAAGTCGAAAGATCTAACGTAAGTCCCAAAATGTTTGCTGAAATTAATCGTTTTTAATTTTGGATTTTCCGTCCAAAACATTGGTATTTATATGGTACAAATTTCTTTGTTAAGGTCTAATCAAAAAGCTTAAAGGAATTCCTGATTGATTTTATTCAAAAAAACTAAATTCTCTGAGATTATAAATGAAAAACCTGCTGGTCACTTCAAACAGAAAAGGCATTCGAATTTTTCGTGAAAATGCGGGTTGGCGTGAAAACTTAACTGCAAAGCTTTGCTGCTGCACATATATGGCAGGTGTGTACGTGAGCTTGTATGCAGCCAACTCCCACTGACTCACAGCGGGATCATTGCTGCGGAAAAGCAAAGAGAGATTTATTGCTATTACGTGTACAGAAGTTACAGCAGCGGCGTGGATGATGAGTTAGTTCACAAAAAATATATATATATTCAAAAACACATGTGCACTACAAAATGCTCTGGTGGACAGAAAAGGAATACGAAAGCAGTCATTCGATAGCTGACCGCAGGCTGTAGAATGTCGATGTACGAGATTACTCTACGCATGAACATACATATGAATGTATTTGTAAGCAGAAAAGCTTAGGAGATTCCCGTTTGTGTTTCAGTTATTAAGTGTGCCATATGCATGTTCTGGCGTCGGTACATTTACAAAGCAAATATAGAAATTATTTGATCAATTTTTATGCACAACGGTACAATAATAAAGCGGCAATAGTTGGAGTATCTGTTATCCAAATTCCTCCAAAGGAAACAACTTCCTATTCGCGAAACAAATAATAAACTCAATTATTGAAATTATGCGTTCGAAGTAGTTTTTTGTTATAGCGGAACCTAGTGACTGACTGCAGTGGTTTAATATATATTTTTAATAGCCACGAAATTGCAATTGAGTTGAAAGAATATTTCGTATATTTAGATAAAAAAATATTGGCATATTTTGGAACTATTACTTTTTGTTTTAATCTCAAAAATTTTTCAATTAGAAGAAAGTCGACATTTTTTCAATCCTGTTGCATTTTAAAGAACTGAAAACTTTTAATTTTTGGTGAAAGATCACATTTGATTAAAAATAAAGAATTTTTAACAGATATTACAAATATACAGCAATACATCCAATATATATGCATAAATTTGGTACTTTTGTCTCTGTTCCGAAAAAGTACTCTCCACTCGACTACTTTAATTAAAAACAAAAAAAATATATAACATTTCTCACTCTTCACCGAACTCTAATTATAGCATATTGACATGAAGAAAAACACATATTAAAATATAATTTCATTTCCATTTTATTAATATACATTTGTTTGTAAGTGCCGATCTCTCACATGAATAATTTGTACCGACATGCACATATTTCGCCGGATTCGGACACAATGGGTTTACTAGGTCAATTGAAATTTCCAAAATTTGCATTTAAATTAATTATATATCCTTATTTACAATACAAGTATTAACAGATATTTGTGTATGTATGTAGACAATTATGCCTGAAGGAATCTAAGGGCAGCTAGCGCGTTTCTGAGATGTTGATGATGTTTTCACCCAACTTTGGGCCAAGTTTATTCTAAGGGAATGGGCTGATTGGAGCTGTGTGTATGTTTATTGTTTAATATATATTTCCCGGCCAACATAAGCCTTTCGAGTCTGAGCCATCTATTGGAAAAATAATAGATTTCTTTTAACTACACTAGCAACTATTAAAAGGGATCTTTCATCGTGGAAATTGTGTACCAGTGGATGAATTAAACATATGTTAAGTATCCCAATTCGACACCTTATATGTTGCCTAGATAACCGGAATGTGCACCGTAAAACCTATATGAGCCAGCTAGTGCCATATTATAATTATTTTTATTGCTTGTCGCGTGTGTGCTTGTTGATTAGGGGTGTGCATTGAAAATAAAATAAAATTGTTACGTTCGTCATTCTCCACATATATGTTAGAACAGTCGGAAAGTCGCTTTAAATATATTTTGTATTCAAACGAGTGATCAGATAATAATAAATTCACAGACATATATACAGAACTATTGGAACTTCACATTGTATTGTGTTGTACTGTACATCGCTTAAAAATAGGTGTGTGGCTGTTTGGAATTATTGGATGATATAATTATGAGCATTAGCGTGGGCCAAACAAATTTTTTTTAAATTTTTTTTAAGTTAACACTAAAATCTCATCCGAAATGATGAAAAAAAATTTCGGGAGAAGTTTGAGCTCTTAATATTAATATTAAGAGGAGCCTCATTAATATTTTCGATTTTCCAATAAGTAGTACAATTAAAACCGATAGAGCTGAAGATAAAAAAGATAGGCAGCACTTCGACTGACGTTAAAACCTAACAATATTACATTTATAACAGGAAGTATTGAAACGTAAATTCAAAAGATTGTCGAAAAAGCAAAACAAATTACTCCATTAATTTATCATTAAAAAAATTAAAATTATTTTTGAAATGTCATACCCCTAATAAAGGTGCACCAACATTTTACGGACCAATAAATTTATTTAATTTATTCTACCCCTTCGGAGTTGTTATTATTCGTAACCAAATTATAGTAATGCAACTGGAGGTTGAGTAAATTTAATGAAATTACAATTTCAAAGCAGTGAAAAATGGGGTGACGACTGTTTGCTTTACTTATATACATACATGTATGAACGACCACTGTATACGTAGAAAATGTAGGCTAAAATTATCGTGTGTAACTTATACAAAAGCTTCAAATTGTTTTTGTGGCAAAATTGACCAACAAAGACTCCATACACACCGGCAAAGAAGAAGAGATACTAATGGTACAAAGGGTTAGAACAAATGGAGAAAGCTGGAATATATTTGTAGCTTCACAATGTCTGTAATGGTTTGTGTTTTATGCAAATTAATATTTCAGTCATCAGAGTGAAGTTTGGAAAGTTGGTATTACAGGTAGCTTATGTATCATTAATGCCTACCAAATAATTTATAATATATTTGGGCACATTTGATTCTCTATATATAGTAAAGGAAAATGAGAGCTAAATAATAATATTTTACTGTTTTGATAACCGTTATAAAAACAAGAGCATATGGCTCATTCAGTCACTCACAAAGTTCACATTTATCCAAAAACTCAGCTGCTTCAATCTTATTGCATTAGAAGTGAACTTTTCCTCAGCTGACACTAAGTGATCCATAACACTCGCTCACCAAACGAGAAAGACAAGCACACGCAATGGTTCGTCGAGACATTCATCACTTTGAGAGGCGCTGACAGGTTCGCGTTACAATTACGACTTCGCAAAAATAGAAAAGGCCTTAGCGTACTTACAATTCGCATGAATATCTGCAATCATTGCCGAAAACCAACTAGAAAGGTATATATTTCAAGCTGTTGGCAACAATCGCAAGCGCGCGTATAGAAAAAATTAAACAAAAGCAAAGGCAACTATACAAGAGACTGAAATTGTTAACCGCTATTTCGTTTTTTTTTTATCTGAACATGTGTAGGGCACAGTGCACGACAGTGACAAAAAATTAAAAATTTTAAAACCTGAAATAAGGAAATAGATATGTATACAAAGTGATTGAAATAGTTGAATCTATACTGAAAGAACAAAGGAAGATCGAGACTTCACCCTCGTAATTTTTATGTCACTTGGGCTAGACAATGCTGCCAAATTCCAGCATTTGCCTAGAAGAAACATTGTGCGTTGCTTTCGTTTCACTGCCTCGTACATTGTTTTGAGGTTATTTCGGCGCTCGTGATTTTCTATCCACTGGCAGCGCTCGTCTATGTTTTATGGTCTTTAAGCGCGAAAAGCATCGCAATTTCGCTTAACACGTTTGTCATCACCGCTGCTCCCAGTATGTTCGTGCATCGCTCGCGCTTATGAAGAAAAATGAGCGCATATGATTTATGTCTTTTTTATGATGATAATAATGTCACACGATGCCGTATAAGTAACTGCTAGTAGCTTATGCATTTATGCATATACATATGCATAATTTATAACGGAGCGCACGCCGTATGGCTCCACCATGTTTGGCATTTCCTGTAATTTCGCAACTGCCTCCTTCCCGCTTACTCTCTTTCCTGCGCTACGCCTCGAAGCCTGTCGTGTTATTCATCGTCTCTCGCCTCAGCAACTTGTCCAGCTAAAGACAAATTTTTCGAGTTTACTGAATTTGCTGCATATTTTGCATTTTTATTTTTTCAGAGCTTAAAATTTAATGCTTGATATTTATGCATTAATATTTTTTACACCCAGCGGCAGACGAAGTCCATTCACTTTGCATTTTTATTTAGCATCGTCACATAGTTTGCGTACTGTTAACATAACGGTGAATTTGAAGATGAACAAATTATAATTTAGTATGCATTTCGTATATGAAAGATAATCATTACCATTTCCATTAAACTTTATGAACTTACTGTGTTCACTTTGTAAAGAGCTTTGGGCATAATCAAATCCCAGCTGTCATCAGAGTCAAATTATATATTACCACAATCCGTATTTGTGATCCGATTAAGATCATATCTGAGAAACATACTGGCGAGAGAAACATGCTTACAAAACTGTCTGCTGGTGTCGCCGGTGTCGAATTATTACGGTCCGATATTGTGATTGAACACTTTTAAATGGTTAATACTTGTGAGCAAAAATTGTTAAAAATACATTTTATTTGTTGCTTAATGTAATAATTCTTTTTTATTCTTTCAGATATATCGACGCGAGGAGTACGACCTAAGTCATTTTGTGTACTATACGTTCAAGATTAAGGATACTATTGAATGAAGAACGCTGTATACGTATGTACATGTGTTACTAGTAAAGGAAATAAAAAATGAAATTCGCATTAGAGGCCCGAATTTTTTTACTCAGCGTTAGTTTATTGGATGGTGAGTTGGAATAGCTTAAAAATATATATAATATTATTCTTATAAGAACTATAACCAGCTCAAAATATATTAATACATAATAATATTCGCCACTCACGTAATGTTGAACGTTGTGAGCACTTTTTTAACACCATAATCAGAATCTTCAAATATGGCTTTCTTAGTTCGTAAACTTTGTCGAATTTAGGTTTATAAAATATTTCGATGGCCCTCGTGGTTTATTTCGCCAATTACGAGCCGAATGCTCATTGACAACTGGTCAGAAGTCACTAGCACATCATATATAACTAACTTGAAAGGTCAAAATATAATTCGTTCACCAAATATTTTAACAAAACAAAAAAAGGTTCATGGTTTCACACGCTATTTCGCACTCAGACGATTGATATTGACAAAGTAGCGGTGATAATGGGGTCTCCATCAAATAGACTTTTCCTTTTTCCTAAAAGCAAGAGAACTTGGAGACTGTTCGCGTTCGTATATGACAATTTTCCCATAACTCACTTTGAAAAAAATTAATATATCTAAGACATTTTAAAAATACCCTATACAAGCCGGAACGCATGCAGCTACAAGATATGTGACGAAATTCAACAAAACTAAAAGAAACTATCACCGAGATCGTTGACTCGAGTTACTACCCGAAAGTGCAATTTAGCCACATATTTGTATTAATTAGTACCGCATTTCATTAAACGAAAGTAAGTGTTAAAAATGAAGCCAACATAAGAAGCATAAAGTATAAAGTACACTCATATTAATTTTATGTAAATCAAGAGCGCTTGCTTGTGCTTTTTTGTGGCCTTGCGCATAATGCCTGGCAGGCGGTAATTAAAATTTTCATATCTCGCGTTACCTACTAAAAGAAAGCGCTTGAAAGAAAGTGTACCACCAGCTTACGGTTGTCACTTTTGCATTGTAGCAAAAACGCGCTCATAAAACGGTGCAGATTTACTACCGACACACCACGTATTCAACAGCAAACAAATCAACTGCGACATGCACACGTCAGTCTACTTTAAACACGTTGCAAGTATGTTTATATTCATGAGTACGTATGTATAATATGTGCTTGTAGCGCATGTGGCATGACGGAGCACATTTTCAATAATATTACGAGTATATGCACATATCAAACGGGCGTCGACGAATCTGATGTGACAGACACTTGAGTGACATTCCTGAGCAAGCTCACAGCCAGCTTACCAACCTGTTAGGCTGCGAGCATGACTGAGTTTGTGCCCTTGCATACACGCTATCGTATACGCATACTTATGCACATTTCTGCATACAAATACTGTATGTGCTCAATTAAATAGCGGTTAATTTTGCTCAAATCGCCGTATAACCGTTTGGTGCGCTTTAAATGCATTATTTAATAATATTATTAATTCTATACCAGAAAGAGGATCGCTCTATGTTTAGGATAACTCTGAGTTTAAGGTGTTAAATCAACTTCCAAGTCAGAAAAAGCGCGTTTTTTACGTTTTTTTAAGAAGCAGTTTATTTAATAAATAAATTATAATAAAGTGAACTTACAGAATTTAATGTATTTCAATAATCAGCGGAGAAGAGCATTGTCCTGAGCAAAATTTGTATGCTTAAAATTAATTCAAATTCTTGATGTTTGTAAAAATTATTTTTACTATAGATGAACATAGCAAAAATGGCGGCTTTCATAAAAAAAGTGTTTTTTGTTTTAAAATTTTCAATGGCTTCAAAAATTGAAATTATTATAAAAAATCTTATTTCTTAGATCACTATTTAAAAAATTTATGTGATAAGACATTGTGAAATTTGTGAAAGCATAAAATGTCGGTCGTTCCGTCCAACCATTACGGAGGAATATTTCTCACCAATTCTAAAACAGTGTTTTAAGAAAAACGAGCTTAATGTCTTGGATATAACCCTTCAAAAGTATCTGATTTGTGAAATGTGTTCAAGACCTTAGAGAGTTTCAATATCTGCTATCAACCGAATATATTATAAGATTTCAGGAGCCCAACCCAAGAATACTTTTTTGAGGTGAGAAAAGTGTAATATATCTTAAGAGTTCTATAAGCGCCCTTAGACTCTCGGCCCATAATTTCTTTAACCCCTGTGTTACGTAATTATTGAAATCGGTTTAATTTTTTTTTTGCTCATTAAAAAATGCGCGACTGTACAAGTAGTACAGTTACAGAAAGTACTTGCAAAACTTTAAATTTTCTATACTTTTTTTGCACCAAATTTCAATTAGGGTTTCCTCTGCTTTGTTATTTATTGTTTGCACAAAAGTTTGCTTGGCTTAAATTTTTTCACCGAGTGTTTTCTCTGTACAAGCTACATAGTGGCATCAAGAAAAACCACAGGTGGACAGACAAAGGCGTATGAGCTTGCAACCCTGCACGTGCTTAGTTTGCATATTTTTTGTGCAAGCTTAGTATATTGCTGAAGCAGTTCGTTTTTTGCTAAGTGAAGATAGCATTGGTTAACGAATGGTTCACTTATTGCCCTGTAGGAAATCCGGGTGGATATACCAGCTGCATTGATTAGAAAAAAATATTAATATAGCAAACGAAATAAATGCATTTTTGTCTCATTTCGGTGACTGTTATCTTTTACCTGTGTAAAGTAAGGGTACATCCACATTGAAATATGTTTTTAAACAATGCTCGAGTGTGCTACAGTTCTACTAAATGTCCTTCGATTTCTCTGTTAAGACCACTTTAAGCTTTATTTCTATTTTAAATGGCGAAATTCATACGTCAATAGCATAAAACCGCTGGTCCTCCTACAGCTAAAGCACTTGTAGGTCGCCTATATCCTCACAGAAACGTGTTCACTTTTGTATTTACCATCAGACACACCCGCTGGTTTCACAAAGCTATTATGGTTGGAAATGTAAGCACTGTTGTATGTTTAAACTGTTGCGTCGTCGTTTTAGCTGTTGTTGCCATAGCCGCCGGTTGCTGTTTATGCAGTGCCATCAAACGAGTATTTGCACACACGTGGCAATCGCATTCCATGGCACTGATACCACCACGGCAGAGCTTAGTAGACAATTGCATGCAGACATTTATACAAACGTATATATATGTACATATGAGAAGCCGTTCTCATAAGAACGAAAGAAATACACTCGACTTCTTTCACCTTCTCCATGATTTTCGCAACGACCGACATTTTATGCTCTCGCAACATGTTGCATAGAGTGTATAATTTGTGTTCATCTAACGGTTGTTTGTAAAACCTGAAACTAATCGGTAAAGATATAAAATAAAGTCAGAATAACGACATTGGTTAATTTCCGGTTGTCCGTTTCTTCGTCCGTGTGAGTGGATAAGACTGAGAACTTGACGAAGAGAAAATATATCTCTGTAGTCCGTTGAGAAAATCGGTATTGTATTAATGGATTGATTCCTTCCCATATCAACATTATTCCCTATATAATTTGTTTTCTCCTTGCATTTTCTTCGGCCAGACAACAGGACTTTTCAATAAAATTAAATGAGGTCACTAACCCTAACTTTTTACAAATTGCGAGTGTATCTAAAATCCGGTTGTTACCCGATTGGGATCGTGCTTACTTTTTGTTTTTGTCCTTGTTTAGGTTAGGCCATTGCTGTGTTTCAGTAGCGTCATATTTTTTTGAGTTGAGTTTTTAAACAACGGTTTTATGTTTTTTTCTGTTTTGTATGCTATAGTTTCATTTGCGAATTCGCTATGATTCATTTTTACACTTTGTTCAACAATTTCAGGGAAAGGCATGTGTTTATGGCGACAGCTGAAGATAAAGAAAGTCTTTACCATCGCTGAGAATATTAGTGAGCACTTTAAGCATGACGCTACTAGTCGTCTACTTAGGTGTATATTTTTTAGGCTTATAGTTCTGAATATATGAGGTCTGTTCGAAAATAAGGTGAATTTTAATTTTTCTCAAAAAATATTAATTTATTCATCAATTTTTATTTTGTATCCTTCAAAGTAGTCCCACTAAGATATAATACGTTTTTACAATCCTCGAAGCTGTTCTGATAGACTTTTTAGTATATCTTTGAGCTCTCGTAGCGATTTTGTTTTTGTCCTTGGCTCTCTTAAGCTCTTCCATTTACCATAAACCCATGATTCGTCACCAGTTACGACACTAAGTAAATCTGAAACGCTGTTGACGTCCTTGAACAATTCCTGCTCGATGCTCATGCGACGGTTTTTTGGTCAAACCTCAGCAATTTTGGAACCAACTTGGCTGCCACACACTTCATGCTCAAAATTCCCGAAAAACTGGCATGGCATGAGCCAACTTCTTCAGCAACTTTTCTCACAGTGATTAAATGATTCTCCATAACAATTTTCTTCACTTTCTCCACATTTTCATCGGTTGTTGATGTTTTGTGGTGTAGAGGGCGAGCGTCGTCTTTCACATCTTCTCGACCTACTTTGAAAAGCTGGTACCACTTGACTATCACGGTGTACCACTGTCAACATTTCAAGTATTTTTGATCATTTCACATGTTTCACACAAAATTTTATGCAAATTTTTTATTAAGTTTTTTCGACAGCAGTTAATCGCCACACAGACAAAACACGTATAACTTTAATGCCTCTCACAAAGAAAATATATATGCTATATAGCTGAAACTGTGAAAATATGTTCAAGACGAGTGTACCAACAAAAAAAAAGCGAAACGCCAATGTACGTAGCCCTTGAAATTTGAAAAGAACTTTATTTTTTTAACAGACCTCGTATATCAAATTATAATAATATCTTATTGACCGCGAAGTTTAGTCTGTATAAGAACCAGCATTGAAAATTATTATACTAAGTTTAATTGAACCAATTTTTTTCAACAATCGTTTCGGGTATAAATTAAATACCGCTAATGTAACTTGTTCACACTCGCGCATCTACGAGTTACACATAACCTCGAAAACAAAAAAATCTACATATCCGCTATCCTCAAACCACCCCCCTTTTGTATTTCCAAGAGAGAGCCCAGTAATCCTTTAAGGTGGTCGTC